TTGCATAGGGCAGAATATGTGGCATGTCTTCTTGCATAGGGCAGAATATGTGGCATGTCTTCTTGCATTGGGCAGAATATGTGGCATGTCTTCTTCCATTGGGCAGAACATGTGGCATGTCTTCTTGCATAGGGCAGAATATGTGACATGTCTTCTTGCATAGGGCAGAATATGTGGCATGTCTTCTTGAATAGGGCAGAATATGTGGCATGTCTTCTTCCATTGGGCAGAACATGTGGCATGTCTTCTTGCATAGGGCAGAATATGTGGCATGTCTTCTTGCATAGGGCAGAATATGTGGCATGTCTTCTTGCATAGGGCAGAATATGTGGCATGTCTTCTTGCATAGGGCAGAATATGTGGCATGTCTTCTTGCATAGGGCAGAATATGTGGCATGTCTTCTTGCATAGGGCAGAATATGTGGCATGTCTTCTTGCATAGGGCAGAATATGTGGCATGTCTTCTTGCATAGGGCAGAATATGTGGCATGTCTTCTTCCATTGGGCAGAATATGTGGCATGTCTTCTTGCATAGGGCAGAATATGTGGCATGTCTTCTTGCATAGGGCAGAATATGTGGCATGTCTTCTTGCATTGGGTAGAATATATTTGTTAGTCTACAACTCAGTTGTGCGGTTCACAGAGTGGAAAAAAAATCGGCCTTGTGGGTAGTCACAGGAAAAATAAGAGAAGAGGGTAGGCAGGAGATCCCTTTTAGTGTAGTGTTCATTAAGGTACAGGAATTGGGACCATTAAAAAAATGAAAGGTATCAGGATGCTTTGACTTTCATCCGCAGAGATTGCAGGTGACCAATCGAGAATGGTAGACACAACCTGTAATCAGTGCTGGTGCAGAATATGTCTATCTCCACGCAGATGTGAGTGGACACACAATGCTCAGGGCCCAATCCTAGGTCCACTTGAGGGACATCAGCATGGGGAGATGGAGTCACATGGGAGCCAAAAAAAAACACAAAACTGTCTTAGAGATGTCCATGGGCAGATTGTGATTAAAATCTTGTGATAAAAAACTATTTATTGATAACACCAATGACACGTTTCGTAACAACCTTCTCAAATAACAAGTGCCAACACAGAATAACTAGATGGCTACAGGCAGGGCACTCAGCACCTAGTGTGGCTGGAGATAGCAATGGCGAGCATGTCTGTGCTCATATTTGCTTTTCTGCCTATGTATTTGGGGGGGTTTTTAACAGCAGCTCTCTTACAGTGTGATACCACCTTTTACATCGTCCTCCACAGAAAATGGACTTTACCTTCACTGTAAAAAAACCTGACATGAAGATAACAGTTGTACAAGTAACATTGTGAGTTAAAGTGGACTTGTATCTTCCTCAGCTTTGTATAAGCTTGAACTAGGAGGGACTTGGATCTTTTTCCATACGTCGTTTCCTTGCTCTCTGGGGATGAACAGAGAAGTGGGAGATCTAAGGAAAGGCAAGAAGAGCAATCTGCATATTTTTTTTCCAGCGCTGTGCTGCAAAATATAATTCATATTTTTAAACGCCTCGAACATTACCGCCAGTGTCGGAGGTTCTGTGGGCTCCAGAGGTGCAGCAGCTTCATGTCACTGGCTTAGACATCAACCAGGCTCATGGCAACATCTAATCTGCAAAGACTGTTGATGGCTTCCCCAGCCACTGTGCTGGGTGCTGTTGGTTATGATAGAAGTTCCATGTGCAGTACTGCACTAGAATATTCACAAAGAAAGGGAGCCTGTATTATTTTTATGTGAGTCCATTTATTCGGTATGTTTATCATCGTTTTATGCATACCTAGCAGGGTGACAGGTCTCTTTATAGACCCACTCCAGGCTACTGGTAAATCTACCTATGCAGTGAGCTCCCCCTGCACAGCATAGATTAAATGCTTATTTAGCTAGGGGATGATGAATAAGGTGAAAAAAATTGCCTTATTCCTCACTCTCAGGCTTCCTCTTCTCCAGGTGAGTAGAGATTTCCTTCTTCCCAAGCGACCAGTCCACCAAAGCCGCTTCAATTCACTGTGCAGCCGGTCGCAGCTCTCATCACATACAATGCAGGACCAGCAGTTCTGCAGAAGGGAGAAAAGCGAAGTCCCACCCAAATTCCAGAGAGGAGAAGAGCACCGGTGGTTGCGGGAACCAGGGGCGTAACTAGAAATCACAGGGCCCCATAGCAAAATTTTGTATGGGGCCCTGTGATTTCCAGTTATACCCCTTGCAGAGCCCACTCGAGATCCCACCTGAGGGTGAACCTGCAGAGCCCACCATAGACTCTCTGCAGGGTCACCCTCAGGTGGGCTGGTCGCACTCCTTACCTGTCCGCCTCCTCTTCGTCCACGGTCGCTGATGGGCCTCGCCTCCTCCTCAGTCGCCGGGCCCGCCTCCTTCTTCGGCCGGGCCCCACTGTGCCCCGCGCCCCATAGCGGCCGCCTGGGTCGCTATGGTGATTGTTACGCCACTGGCGGGAACAAAGAATGTGGTAAGTATTTGTACTTATTCCATTCCTCCCTAGTTATACGCAGGTGGGGGGTGGAGTTGGGGGCACACTGCATGGGTAGCTTTAACAGCAACCCAGAACTGGGATTAAATGGCATGTGAAATATAATATGAATACAACTTAAATGCTCAGGCATTGTTAGACATTCAATGATTGTCGGGGGTATTTTTTATTCTTTACTCAAGAAAAAGTGAAGAACCTTTCAGCAGACTCAGATAATCTCCCTGTGTAATAATGAAGCCCTAGCTCAGATAATCTCCGCGTGTAATAATGAAGCCCTACTTTGGCATGCGGCATTTTTTTATTGTCCTGTATCAATGCAGAAACAGCCCAGTAATCACAAATAAAGCTCAAAATTAAGGTCATTGCTTGCTTTTATTGATCCATCCTCAGCAAATAAAAGCAAGAGAGAGAGAAGGCACACAGTCAGTGTTCAGCAGAACTAAGCAAGAAGCAGAGTGTGGTTTTGGTACATTACCCCTAACACCTGCACATGTGTTAAGTCAGCCCATTCTTTAGAATAAGCGACCATCGTATGGCCATGGATGAACAAAACAAAACAAAAAAAAACTCCCTGCAGAATTGTAAAATGCAGTTCAAGTGACTACTGTAGTTGTGCGTTGATGTGCCATGAACAGCTATGTGCTGTGTGTGTTGAAGTGTTTTACCGGACATTACCACAGTACATATGTGTCAAGCCAGCCTAAAATCCTACCACACATTGGTAAGATTACTTGCAGGCTGACTCTAGTTACATAAATGTCTTAAAAAAAATACATCAAAGTCCAAATCCCATTCGCACTGCCACGGGTCTCAAAACCACAAGGTATATGTGGTGCCCAGGTGACCCCACGGATTGGCGCCGTGCAAAACACTAATAGTAAATAAAAGTAATTCACCGGCACACACTTGAAGGGCTTTTAAAGTATCGATATGTTTATTCAATACCCAAGCGTCACATACTGTCATACGATGCTAACGTTTCGGGTCCGCACAGGGATCGTGACAATATAACATTGGAGGAGGACCTGGATAAAATAGGGGGAGGGGCATTAATGTGGCAGATGAGGTTTAATGTCGATAAATGCAAAGTAATGCACTTTGGACATAAAAATAAACAAATGGGTTATACAATTATGGGGGTGCCGCTAGGGAAGTCAGAAATAGAAAAAGATTTGGGGGTCATTGTAGACCACAAACTGAATGGTAGCTTGCAGTGCCAAGCTGCGGAAAACAAAGCCAGCAGGGTCGTGTCCTGTATTAAGAAGGGGATGTATTGCAGGGCCAAGTCTATCGTTGGGCCTCTATATAGATCGTTGGTTCGGCCACATCTGGAGTACGCGGTCCAGTTTTGGTCACCGGTACTGAGAAGGGATGTCCTTGAACTGGAGAGAGTCCAGCGGAGGGCAACAAAACTAATTAGGGGTATGGAGCACCAGAGCTATGAGACGCGGCTACTGAATTTAAACATGTTCACACTGAAATTAAGGAGATTAAGGGGGGGTATGATTTTCATGTACAAGATGCTCAATGGTGACAGCAACATTAACTCCATTACAAAGACTAGAAGCCACCACCTAAAGTTGGTGGAGAAAAAATTCCAGCACAATGGGCGAAGAGGGTTCTTTACAGTAAGAGCGGTTAAGGTCTGGAACTCACTGCCACCGGCCGTCATCTCAGCCAAGACTGTAGATTTGTTCAAGAAACGTTTGGACAATTTCTTGAGGGACCGTAATATCCAGGGATACCAGTATCCCTAAGAATGAGATGATGCGCGGACCTATGTGGGTTGGACTTGATGGACGTATGTCTTTATTCAACCCCAAATACTATGTAACTATGTAACTATGTAAGGGATCCTTCATCAGAGCGACAGTGACACAGGGTTGAAGGATCCCTGTGCGGACCCGAAAACGTTAGCACCGTATGACAGTATGTGGTGTTGGGTATTGAATAAACATATCGATACTTTAAAAACCCTTCAAGTGTGTGTGCCGGGGATTTACTTTTATTTAAAAAATACATAACATAAACCCGAGCTTCCTTTTAAGCTATGGCACTAACTGTAAGAACATCATATAAATGACCATGTCGCTCTAATCAGTGGTTTTACATTTGTGCAATGAGCAATGAAATTAAGTTTAGAAAAGGCTGAAAATGAGGAGAATTAAAATGTAAACATTGTTTAATGTGGAGGTTTCACTGATTTACCATCGGAAATAGATTAAAATACCGTTCAACTTTCATTTTTCCAGTCCTGTGAATAATGTCTACATAGCTGTAGTTGCTGATGGATGATACTCTACCTGCAATGTAGGTCATCATCCAGGAGTGAGTATACAGATCAATGGGGGGTACAAATGTCAGCTAAAAGGGACAACTTGAAGCAGTACAAGGTATATATACTGTACATAGGTCTTGTATGTATATCTTGTGATCAGGGAATTGGGCTTTGTTACTGCTGTGCAGTTCAGCAACGTCTCTCTTTGTGGTTCCTAGGTGGGCAAAAGGTGGACAACTCCTAAAGGAGGTGACCGAAGAAACCTTTGAGACGGTGGTGGATTACTCCTTCTTCATGGAGCCGGTGTCGTGCGAGGTCACCAATGCCCTAGGCAGCACCAACGTCAGCAGAACAGTGGATGTATATTGTAAGAGCCTGACCTGTGATCGCTGTCCCCGTTCACGTGTTCTTATTACAATTCCCAAGATAAGCTTATGTGCCATTAAGCAGACACACCTTTCACAATGTACAGCCACTGAAAGGCCTATTTATTAAAGGTTGAAATCAATATTATGCCTTATTTCTTTGCATGTCACACTGCCATTTCCTCTGCTGACCTTTTGTACAGAATGCAGAAAATTTTAGCAAGTAAATTGGACATACTGTGGCAAGATGAGAACACATTTATTTTGCCAAACTTTATTAAATAGACCCTGTAGTGCGGTAGTAGCAGAAGTTAAACATCTGAGGCAAAAGCTCTTAAAGGAGAACTATGGGGTCAGTGTTTTTCCCCATAGTTCTCTTAAGGGTCATGGGGGGACACAAACTAGCGTCCTCCCGTCACCCAAAGCTCAGTATATTGAGTCGGCTATATATAGGTTATACTGGGACCGCCGCAGCCGGGACGGATCCCGACATTACTGTCGAGATCCACCCAGCTGCATGATTGACAGCTGGCTCTGCCTATCTAGAGGCAGAGCCAGCTGTACCCAACCCCTCACCCGTCCGTTCCGCCAGTGAGTGCTGGAGGATCGGAGCGGGGAAGGGAATCCCTGCAGGGAGCCGTGAGTGACAGTCACTGCTCTCTGCAGGGACATGATCGAGCAGTGAGCCGAGCTGTGACAGTTTCATTGTCACACATCGGCTTGAACTATGAGGAGGAGTGAAAATCACTCACCTCATAGTTCTCCTTTAACGATTACACTGAGCAATCAGATTCTCGCTGCCATTCTCCAGAGTAGATTGTCAATTCTTCATATTTGATGACCACTGCCGAGGAAGCTTTGCGTACTTGTTTCCTTCTTGTATGCCCAACACGACACTTATCATTGGTTGTTATTATTATGAAATCTAAGCAGCGCTGTCATTCCCAAAAAGACAAACCAGATAGGTCTCTGGAGGTCAAACCAGAGGAGACTAAACAGGGGCCAACGTTCAGGCAAAGTTGGGTTGAGGTCAGCCACAGGGTCAAACCAACAGATATATTACAAAGGAGCTACTAGGTGAGGAGTTGGGGTCAAAACCAGGTAAACGACGACCAGACTATCTACCCCAAAATGGAGAGCAGGAACAGAGTGAATGCAAAGACTGAGGTGGATGGAGTTCCCTCAGACAAGATGCAGCCGGTGCAGTCAGGCCAGCCAAGATCAGAGACACAGAAGACAAACCAGAAGTGCTCCCTAGCCAAACTGTACCGTAGAGCTGCCAGCCAGACAATGGACTCTGGTGCTCCTTTGAAGGCTGAATGCCCAGTCACTGAGCGTGTTGACATTTTGCAGTGAATGAGTATCCGCCTGCTGGCATGTCCACGTGCCTATGCACAAAGCTCACCTGGTATTTATTGTGAGCGTGCACAAAGGCTGCAGCATGGACAATTGTGAAGCGCAGGAAAGTAGGCAGGGGGATGAGGGGACCGCTGGTGAGAGACCAAGATGGAGAATGAATGTGAGCTACAGCTTGTCCAACGGATGCCCAATTCACTGCTGAGCAGATGATGAAGGACTGTCAGGTGACCAATCAGAAAAACAGGAGAGAGGTGGCTACCTTACAGCAGCATGGGAGAAGAAGGCAAGGGAGTCTGGTCGCCATGAACAGCAATAACAGCCTCACTGCCTATAAATAAGGCCCATTGTCTATGACCTCATAATAAAGTGGCCATTACAATGTCATCCATTTATAGATAGGCTCCTCTAAGCAATATACCCAATTCATCTTTGTAGTTCCTGTGCTCCATCGTATCTATGTATGACTCATAAACTATCCATCCCACCAAAAAAAACTCTGTGTTCCAAAGTATTTCTAAGTGTCTCACTGTTCCCGATTACTTCAGTTGGACCTAGGATGACATCAGAACCAGAATCCGTTACCGTGGACCTTGGATCTGAAGCCACCTTTCACTGTGCGTGGACTGGTAACCCCTCGCTGACCATTGTCTGGATGAAGCGTGGCTCTGGAGTGGTATGTACCTACAGCATTGATGCTTATCTGCACATATGCCCTCAGATGTTGCTTTATTTGAATACCGTTTAAGAAGGTTGACATTTTATTGTAGGACACGGTGGGGTCACATTGGACTTTTTGGCCACTACCTGTGAGTTTTAAGTGGTATGTGCATATAACATTAATGTTTATCTGTAAATATGCCCAAAGATGTTGCTTTATTTCATAACTGCCCAAGAAAGGTGACAAATTTTATTGTAGGGCATGGTGGTGTCACACTGGACTCATTGGCCCCTACCTGTAATTCTAATCAGCATCCCATACACAGAAAGTGACATCACTAGGGCTGCAGCTAACGATTATTCTCATAATCAATTAGTTGTCCGATTATTTTTTCAATTAATCGATTAGTTGTATTAAAAAATCTCTCTCTCCCCTCCTCTCTCTCCCTCTCTCTATTAGTGATGGGCCCGGGCGTGTTCGCAAGCGCCTCGTGCCGAGCCAGGAAGCTGTCAGCTCGCAGGGCCAATCACAGGCACTGAGATATTTCCCGATCTCTGCAGCTACGGACCGGGAACATGTCTCAGTGCCTGTGATTGGCCCTGCGCGCTGACGGCTTCCTGGCGGGCACGGCACGAGGCGCTTGCGAACACGCCCGAGCCCATCACTACTCTCTACCCCTCCTCCCTCTCTCTCTTTCTGCCCTCCTCTCTCTCCCCCTCTCTCTATTTTTCCCAACTAATCGGTAATGAGAATAGTTGACAACTATTCTCATAATCGATTATTATCAATTTAATCGATTAGTTGTTGCAGCCCTAGACGTCACTGTATCACCATAAACAATATCAAGTGATTTTATCAGCCTTATTAGTGAACAGAGAAACATATTCAGCCCTATTTAATGAATAGGAATAAAAAGCATTCTATAGAGGGCCGGGAAGGGGTGTCAGTGTGCGGGTCACTGAACTCCTAAACCAGAGACTAATTGTATATCTCTGTTGGATCCTAGCTAATTTTTTTGGATAGAATGGACAAGGATTACATCTTTTGCTGTTTTTTCTCATTTCCTGTTCTGTTGATAACCATCATAGGTTAGATGTGAGGGAAGGCTTCACAGACAGTGACAACAACCTGATGGTGATTCTAACCTTTCCTCGCTTTATGAAAACTGAGCATTTTTTTTTCTTCTTCAAAATTGGGCTTGAAATCTACATGTAGAGGTCCAAAAATAGAAGCTGGTGGCACACCGTAAAATCTGACGCTGGTAAAACTTTATTGTTCTGGACAAGCAACACAAAGCCCCATGTGGGACCTCCTCCTCTGACACGGTTCACCCACATCTGAGCTTAAAGCGGAACCTTTACCCATATCTTTAAAATAACAACAAACTAGTTTTCTTCCCTAGTCCACTGACAGTGGCCATGTTAACTAAGGGCAGATTAGTAGCTCTCCTTTTACTTCCCGGAATTATGGCACATGTGACTAGACAAGTGACTAGGACATGTGACCATGCACATCATCTCAGGGGAGGAAAACGCCTTTCCCTGAGATCTGGTGAAATTACAGGTGAGATTTCCCAGCAATGCTCTGCTGATAACAAGTAAATCCCAGCATGCATTGCTTTGGCAAACTGAAATCATTTTGCCCTTTCAAAGCAGGAAGTAAACGCCCTGCAAAGTGTAAGTATTTCCAAATCACAGCATTTTTTTACCTGACATGTCTATGTTATTATTAATCATCATACATAGAGGCAGTGGCGTAACAATCGCCATAGCGACCCAGGCGGCCGCTATGGGGCCCGGGCACAGGGGGGCCCGGCCAGGGCAGCTATGGCATGCAAGGGTGCTGTCTGCCACTGACACAGCTCAGCAGCGGCCGCGGCGCATTTCCCCTCAAAGCCGCTGCGGAGCTGTGTCAGTGACAGCCAGCCGCTGCGGCAGATGAGACCGTTGTTCGCAAAGGAGGAGGAGGCGGGGCCCGCCTAAGAGCAACCCCGCCTCCTCTTACATCACTGGCCAGCACCCTAAGAGCAGGTGGGGCCAGTGATGTGTTTGTGGGTCGCCAGGGGACGGAACAGGAGTCGGGGCCCGGCGACCACAGAGGCCGACAGCGCTGACAGGTAAGAGATCTCAGACCCTGCAGAGCCCACCATGGAGAATCTATGGTGGGCTCTGCAGGGTCACTCTCCGGTGGGCTCTGTAAGTGGCATAACTAGCAATCACCGGGCTCCATACAAAATTTTGCTATGGGGCCCTGTGATTTCTAGTTACGCCCCTGCATAGAGGGAAGCATTGGTAGAATTTGATTTTGAATGTAACGGTACACTTTACTAATAGAGACATGTTTAAGCCCAGTTTTGGGTGAAATGCACCAGAGGAGGTCATAGGTGGAGCTTTTTGTTGCTTGTCCACTGGATATACAATGCGCCACCGGTTTATTTTATTTGGACTTAGCTTTTCTGAATCCAGTCGGCCAAAGGAGTGACTCACCATAAAGGGCTTGAGAGCAGCCAGAAACATTACTCTGTTCACTGGGAGCAGTGCTTCTCTATTTCCACCATGGGCACGGCTACGGAGGCGTAGACTTGTTCTACTCGGAGGTTTTCTAATGCTCCCACATGTTGAACTACAGAAGGTATTTAAACGGCTTCTATTTACAGAAATAAATGCAACTTTTTAGAAATTGCAGTCAGTTTATATCATGTTACCGATTGAGGTGTAAACAGCGCTCTGCAGATTTCTTTAATAAGGCAGCGCAGAGTTCAGTGATTACATGCAAAGTGCGCATTTCTGAGGTCACCAGTTGCCATCGCCTGCAGATCTGAGCTCTGGAAAATTCAATCTGAAAGGAACACTTTTTTTTTTAATATATCACAGGTGCTAAGTAATGAAAACTCCCTGACTTTGAAAAACGTGCGCCAGGAGGATGCTGGGAAGTATGTGTGCCGTGCCGTGGTTCCTCGGGTAGGCGCCGGTGAGAGGGAGCTCACCCTGACAGTGAATGGTAAGAAAAAATGTTCAGAATTTGGGAGGGTGAATGGATGAAATACATTGTGTTATATTGTGTTACATTGTATTAAATAAAAGTTGCAGGGTAGCGGGGACGTGCACTCGGCCTCTTAAAGGAGAACTATGAGGGGGGGGGGGGGCTTTTGACTCACCTCATAGTTCTAGCCGACCTGTGACAATGAGACTGTCACAGGTCGGCTCAGTAGATCGGGAGGTGAGGGAACACATACCGGCGTTTCGCTCACCTCTCGATCCTGTCACGGTTCTCTGCCGTGACAGGGGAGTGGCTGGATTCCCCTCTCCGATCTGCCAGCGCTGACTGGCGGAACGGACGGGGGAGGGGCGGGTACAGCTGGCTCTGCCTCTAGATAGGCAGAGCCAGCTGTCACTCACGCAGCTGGGCGGATCCAGACATAATTGTTGTGATCCGCTTCAGCTGCGGCGTCTCAGTATACCGGGAGCTGTAGCTCCCTATATACTGAGCTTAGGGTGACGGGAGGACGCTAGTTTGTGTCCTCCCGTTACCCTAAGGATATCTATGGGGAAAAGCCCTGACCCCATAGTTCTCCTTTAATACCGGTTAAATAAATTTTACCTTTGTTTAGCAGAAAGCAGGTGACCATTGTCTGTAGATGCTGAATGGGATGTAAATCTGTTCTACAGGAAGAGACGCTGCCCTGTTTTATGTCGTTATCTCGTACAGCGGGGAAGAGACGCAGATTTAGCTTTTTAATATTAGAGATGTGTTTGTGGGTCCCTTAAATAGGCAGAAATCCATTTCCGTTGGCTCTGCCGTGCCCGATAGTAATCAGCTTCCACCATTAAAGAAATACTTTATTCTGTCTAACGATGGCAAGGTGCAGCCAGCCTGATTGGAGAGGCAATCGTGTTATGTATTACTGGCTTATAAAATGATGCAAATTCAATACTGAACCCTACGGACTAAGACTGGGATGCCATTAAAGTTCATGTGCGTGTAAAGGCGTCCCAATACTTTTGGGTAATATAGTGTATTTCACACATAAAGAGCTCCCCTCCCGTGCCTGGGAACATTCCCCCTCCCCGGGCGGTGGTTCAGGGGAAGAATGTGGTGGGGCGTGCGGCTTTGTTAGGGCCGCGCTGTCGGCAGCTCTCTGTCCGGTCCCTCCCAGTTCACTGATGTCATCCCGGTGACAGGTTATCTTTCAATTTGAACTCCAAGGCAAGTAGCTAAAAGCACACACATACTGTATATGAGAGTCAAATCATTTGTATTTCTATCCATCCAGTCCTGAGGTTTACACAGCATGTCAACGCAGCACAAAGCTATCTGGTATGGCAGAAGACCCGATTTGTCTTTGCTGCAGTTCAGTAACACTTACAGGTCTTCTCCCTCCCCCACTCTATGACTGGATCATGAAAGGAGAAGCAGCAGACTGATGAGCTCATCTCTGCTCTCTCCTCCTATCTGCATGCTCCGTCCTCTGCATGTGCTGCTTCTCCATCTTCCATTCCGAGCTCTACTGCTGGAGGCCGATACTAAGTCAAATTCAGGTACTTACACTGCTTGCACATTTGATGATGTGTTATAGATGACGGGGCTGTAATAATTTGTGTCCTTTATATGGGGTTCAGCTTTATTCTCAGCCTCCATATCAATGTGTGCGATCTGATTGGTTGCTGCGGCCAGTGCGGACGCCTTTCCCTTCTCTGGTTACAGACGTGACAGATTGCTGCTGTGATAATGAAGGCGATTTATCAGTGGCGGGTCCTGTGTGATGTGTGGATGCCGAGTGTCGGCCTGCTCGCCATCTGGACACGTCCGTGGTTCGCTCTCGGGCAATTACAGGCGGCGCGGCGTTGGATTTCTGCTCGCCGAGACTCCGGAGCGCCTCACATTTATTTCCAGTTCTCTAATCTGGCTGAAGGGGGAAATGGCGACGCTAAAATCTGCAGCTCCTCGCCGCCCGTCACGTCCTGACAACACACTCCCCCCGTGTCATCCTCTCCACTGACAGCATCGTATCCCAGGTCCCGGCCAGGTCCATACTCACAGATCAACACAAAGCATATTTGTGGTCTCCTACCTGCCAACACCCATATAAAGCTCCGGCCTCCCCTTCAGTGTTATATCCGACCTCCGGCCTCCCCTTCAGTCTCATATCTGACCTCCAGCCTCCCCTTCAGTCTTCTGTCTGACCTCCGTCTCCCCCTTCAGTCTTCTATCTGACCTCCGTCCTTCCCTTCAGTCTTCTATCTGACCTCCGTCCTTCCCTTCAGTCTTCTATCTGCCCTCCGTCCTTCCCTTCAGTCTTCTATCTGACCTCCGTCCTTCCCTTCAGTCTTCTATCTGCCCTCCGTCCTTCCCTTCAGTCTTCTATCTGACCTCCGTCCTTCCCTTCAGTCTTCTATCTGCCCTCCGTCCTTCCCTTCAGTCTTCTATCTGACCTCCGTCCTTCCCTTCAGTCTTCTATCTGCCCTCCGTCCTTCCCTTCAGTCTTCTATCTGACCTCCGTCCTTCCCTTCAGTCTTCTATCTGCCCTCCGTCCTTCCCTTCAGTCTTCTATCTGACCTCCGTCCTTCCCTTCAGTCTTCTATCTGCCCTCCGTCCTTCCCTTCAGTCTTCTATCTGACCTCCGTCCTTCCCTTCAGTCTTCTATCTGCCCTCCGTCCTTCCCTTCAGTCTTCTATCTGACCTCCGTCCTTCCCTTCAGTCTTCTATCTGCCCTCCGTCCTTCCCTTCAGTCTTCTATCTGACCTCCGTCCTTCCCTTCAGTCTTCTATCTGCCCTCCGTCCTTCCCTTCAGTCTTCTATCTGACCTCCGTCCTTCCCTTCAGTCTTCTATCTGCCCTCCGTCCTTCCCTTCAGTCTTCTATCTGACCTCCGTCCTTCCCTTCAGTCTTCTATCTGCCCTCCGTCCTTCCCTTCAGTCTTCTATCTGACCTCCGTCCTTCCCTTCAGTCTTCTATCTGCCCTCCGTCCTTCCCTTCAGTCTTCTATCTGACCTCCGTCCTTCCCTTCAGTCTTCTATCTGCCCTCCGTCCTTCCCTTCAGTCTTCTATCTGACCTCCGTCCTTCCCTTCAGTCTTCTATCTGCCCTCCGTCCTTCCCTTCAGTCTTCTATCTGACCTCCGTCCTCCCCTTCAGTCTCATATCTGACCTCCGTCCTTCCCTGCACACTGGGAGCTTCTCACAATGCGCATTAGAAGCTGCAGCAAGTCAGAGAGATCCCACCTCAATTCCTGGCTGGAGGACGTCCAACATCATCTATCCTGACTGTCCCTGGCCCCGCCCCTTTCATTCATTCATTCAGTTATTTCAATCATGGAGGCTCGGCATCATATGTGGGCGTTACCTAGAGCGGTCTGCAAGCAAATACATCCTGCCTAGGACCGCCCACTCCAGACTGACACCCACCCATCAAGGCAATACAATATTTGCATAACTCCTCCCAAGAACCCGCCTACTGCTTGTATCAGGGCTGAGGGTTCTTGAGAGAATTACTGAGAGAAGGTGCTGTGTTGTTTTTTCAAGAAGCTATGTATTGCACCCTGCCGGCCCCTCCCACCAGCCATGAGCTGCCTGAATTGCATATAGAAGCACAAAGACCCAGTGATGACATCATTGGGGCTAAAATGAGGTGTGCAATTAAGGTTTGGGATTATATTGATCAGCCTGTTGATGGGGGAGGGGCAACATATTATCAGATTAAACTTCAGATTACAAATTGCCTTTCCTTTTGGAAGGTTGGTGAGGCCCAATCAATGTGTAATCCCCAGTCCAAAACACCCCGTACAAACTATGGGAGACATTTATAAAACTCGTTCTCTGGTTTCTACTTAAAGGAGAACTAGGGGGTCAGGGCTTTTCCCCATAGTCCTCCTTAGGGTAACGGGAGGACACAAACTAGCGTCCTCCCCTCACCCTAAGCTCAGTATATAGGGAGCTACAGCTCGCGGTATACTGAGACGCCGGAGCGGATCCCGACAATTGTGCCGAGATCCACCCAGCTGCGTGACTGACAGCTGGCTCCTCCTATCTAGAGGCAGAGCCAGCTGTACCCGCCCCCTCCCCCGTCCGTTCCGCCAGTCAGCGCTGGAGGATCGGAGCGGGGAGGGGGAATCCAACCCCTCCCATGTCACGGAGAGCTGTGACAGGATCGAGAGGTGAGCGAACGCCGGTATGTGTTCGCTCACCTCCCGATCTACTGAGCCGACCTGTGACAGTCTCATTGTCACAGGTCGGCTAGAGCTATGAGGTGAGTGAAAAGCCCCTCCCCCCTCATAGATCTCCTTTAAAACATACAAATTCTGCCTATTATTTCTGAAAAATAAAACAGAAATCGCGCAATTTCGCACAATAAGGAAACTGGATTTCAGAAAAGAATGCAAAAGCCAAAATACGCGATGTGCAGCCGGCGTGAATTTTTTTCTGTTCGTCTCCTACATGCCTGCGCTCTGATCATCTGCTTCATGGAGCCGAACGACAGAACAGCTCAAAGCAATTGTGAAGTCTGCTTTCCAAAAATGAGGCCGTTATATAACATATATAATGTATAGGAAACAATATACTATGTAACATATACACTGAGAGGGCCGGACCATTATAAATAGGGAAGCAGGTTGGTTACCACGACACGTGAAGTGATTTGTTTCTGAAGATTCGGGGAAACAACGCGATGTAACAGCCTTTGAACGCGGGATGATTGTTGGCGCTCGGAGCCATGGAGCGAGTATCAGCAAAACAGCAGAATTCGGTACATGTTCAGGAGCGGCTCATTGTTAAAGTGTTTAAAGACCGGACTGTCAGCCGAAAATCTGGGTCTGAACGTGCGAATTGTGGCCGTCAGCGACTAGTCAGTGTTAGGGCAGAACGGGGGAGGGGCAAGACTGGTACAGGACAACAGAAGGGCGACAGCGCCGTGTCAGATTCCTCGCATCACCTTTCATCATCTCGTGGAGTCACCAGGCGGCCCAACCAAGTACTGATGGGGGGGGTCATAATCTGGCCACTCA